AGACAAGGGTTAGCTGTTTATATACCTGGAGTTTTCTAGTCCAATGTGGACTTTGTTTGTTAAATGATTATTTTTCGGTAATTAACTAGTGGAACCATTATCTGCGAATTAATTTGTCAGCTTTTCGATCTATTGTTGACAAATTGATTTGCAGGTAGTGGTTCCACTAGTTAATTACCGAAAAATCAATTAGGATGATCATCATTTAACAAACAAAGTCCACATCGGACCAAAAAACTTCAGGTATATAAACAGCTAACCCTTGTCTTTAGATTCAGTATCAATTTGCTTCTCCTGAAGATGCTAACCTTCTTAGCGAAACGCGCGTCGAGTGCAAAAATATCAGTTTGGTGTTAGGGTGATTGATTTCCAGAAAAAGTTTTCAAAAATCGGTTTGCAAAACCACTCACTACCCCACCTAACCCCACGAACACACGGCACTGATAAAGAAATATTGTGAAACGGACAAAAAATTAGTATTCAGCCAGTCCAGCGAGCCGAGCCTTTATTCCTCAACTACATTTGATAATACGTTTACTAACTATCTGGGCGACTAGGGACTACAGGCAAGAAATGTTTATGACTGTACCAGGGACGCTTTGAACATTTCCCATTTGCCGGGCAGTGATTATGAACACCCCTCGTAGTGCTCTTATTTTTATTGCCGTTCCAATTGGGAATGGATAGACCTATGAAAAGCATTATTTGCTAATAAAAAATGATATATCATACCTCCGTATGAGTTATTCATTTAATATCCGTATGGTAGTATGGTTCAACCAGTTCATTGATAACAAATATTTTTCATTAATGAATGAATTTCATCTAATTATCAGCTTATCAGTGTCTTGCGGTCTTATTTTGAAATTATCTTCAGATGAAATCAATTTTATCATTGTCTCTCATTTGTCGATAATCTACAAAATGACCAGTAATGAATTTTTTCTGGATGAATTTTGAAGAACACAATTTTTTTTAAATCTATTTCTTGCAACATTTTCCTGCAAGAAATCATTCTGCAAAACTCAATATAATTTACGTGTCTTGAAGAAACCTCTAGTAACCAGAAAAAATCACCTTTCATGGATTATATGATGAGAATCCACCGAAAAAAAAAATGTGAAAGAGAGTATACTCCTAAAACCTGGTTCCAATGTGGACTATTACATGCGGAAACCAAATAAGGCACTGATCAATATGATCCAACTAAAAAACCGGGTCAAAAATTCTCATTTCATTCAGTTATTTTTTCAATGGCAAAAATTTCTTTCATTTTCATTAAATATATGATATATATGATATGTATCGATTTTACAGGTTATAAAATAACAACACGCACCTCAAATATATACTCAACGAATTGTTTGTTATAGTATACCATAGAGAAGTCTGTTTCTTTATCACAGTGTTTTGAAAATAACATTATAATTTGGTGCGATTTGTAAACTCCAACTCATATTTTACCACTTATGTGTACAATATAATTGAGCAAAATACTTGAAAATTTTTTTAAGTTGCCTTGATAAATTTGTCAAACAAAAAACTCAGCCCTTTTGCTTCTTCAAGGTTGAAAATATCATTTTTGTGCTCGGTAAGAGCGAATTTTTAAATTGAGTGAAACCCTCAAATTCTGGAGGATAAAATTATACGATGATTTTTTGAATTGTTATGAACTTATCACTCCAGCATTTTGTTTAATATTCACAACAGTTTTCCATTGAAAGAAATCAAATATTTCTTTCAATATATTTTTTCAGTGTAGATATAATCTTCATATAACTGCTTCTGCATCATCAAAAAGTATTATAACAATAATAATTTTGAACCTATGAACAGAAATATTTAGATATATTCAGAAACATTTCCAATATTTTATATATTCTCAAAAACGTTGGAAATTTTCAAAATATAGGCATTGAAAATATGCTGAGAGTTTTACACCTTCAGTTTACCCCGCTAAGTGACTGAATTTGAATTGTTCATCATGAAACTGAGGAATAGTATATATTCATTTATAATTTACAGATAATTTAGGAATCTTACCATACAATGTTGAAGATTATATTCTCCCATGAATGTTAGTTGTGTTTAAGATATTACAATTTTCAGGTATTCCCAGAAAATAAATTCAAGGGTTACAAATTTGGTAACCTTGAAGGCCATTCGAAAGTGCTTCTTCTCCAAACCCATTGCTTTAACATTTTTAGCCTCAGTCAACTATATATTGAATATTATTTGATTTTCTTTGACATTGTGCTCTAGTTATTTGTCAGTATTCAGATCAAGATTCTTCATGGCAGTGGATTTGAAGAAGACCATTGATTGGCATCCCCAGTCACCAAATTTGTCGCCCTTCAAGTTCGTTTTATGGAGATACCTGATGAGTAAAATCTACAGAACCCAATCAGCTCTCCAGATTCATCTTTTTCATGAAATTAATTGGAGAAATTTCAAACCATGCATTAGAAAACTTCCTATTTTGATGATTATTTATATTCAATGAATTATCGTTTGATAAAATGAGGTTATCAGTGATCACAAAGAGCCTGCCTTTCACTAAAAATTGTATTAAAATGGAAAAGTTTCTTTTTTTGTGGCGCTTCAAAAATCACAATCATATTTTCAACCTTCAAGAGGACCTACTCCAATGAAATGCAATGTCAGATTCAACAATTTCTTGAAGGAAACAGAATAAAAATTCATCCCTCATTAATCTTTACGGGGACAGTGACAAAAAGACTGTTATGTTTGTTTCAAACTCCAGATCGCATTTATGAGAGACTGAAGTTATTGCCAAGTTTGCAATGACGAAAGGAATTAGTCATGGAATTCAACGGAAGTACAGCTGTAAAGTTTTATTTGAAAACTTCAGAACAAGACTATTGAGATTTTCAATTTTTTCAATGTAAGGGAGGATTAATAAGGGTATTGCAATGAACAATTAATTCAATTGTCCTAGTCTGAGTATTGATATTATAATTTTCCGATGAATATTTAATTGGGTATGTGAGAGAAATGGAAGTTAAAAATTCATATTCGAAACTGAATAGTTCATCGAAAACTTCCTTTCACAAAAAGTTTATATATTCTATTATATAGTTATTCGAGTTATTCCTATGCGAGTTCTTTGTATGAATACCTGCACTTTGTTATTCGATTTTCCAACGTTCTTTTGTGAGTATGGAACAAAATGTTGTTATAGCATTCTTTGTTGTGGAGATATAATGAGGAAAGGACACATTTTATGCAAAAAGGAAAGAAAAAAGACTCAGCAATATTTTATTCATGCAGGTAACAAACAGAAAAATGATTTAGAATGATGAATATGCATGAATTGGAAGTAAAAAAATTTTTGAAGAAAAATTAAAAAACATAGTAATGGATGAAGTACTTCTCTTACGATGTTTACTTTCATTCATATTATTTTTCAACGTCTAAATTTACAGTTACTTTCAATGAGATCATCAACACTTTTCATCACAGATTTTTCCTTGCTTTTTCCCATTTGTGGACATCCTCCTAACTCTTTGTGATCTTTCCTAATTACTGAATTCTAAACTTCATCCTTCTGCTTATCAATTTTTCAATCACCGTTCACTCAATTTTTCATTGCAATTTGAGTTTGTATAAATTATTGGACAATGGCAGTTATAACTTTTTCCATTTTCATTTTTTTATGGAAAGCTTTCACTTGTTTCCGTTCAGGAAATAAAAAATTTCAACTGAAGAATTTTCAGTCATATCGAATTACCATGAAAGTTTGATAAATGGTCAATTTTGAAACAGGTAAAAATAATTTGTCTATCGGGTTCTCATTTTCAAATTCAAGCCAATTATATCTACTCAGGACTGATTGAATTTTGATGATTGAGATTCAAAAAATTGATTATGAAAAAATACAGTTATGATAATTATTACGAACAAACAGCTAAAAGTGACATTTTCAACACTGGTACATAACTTGTGATATACTGTTTGGAACCTTTGGTGTAGTAATAAATATTACTGGAGTTTTTTCCCAACACCAAATCGTTATTTTTAAACCTCGACACGTGTTTCGATCACCAAGTGATCATCTTCAAGAGGAAGATAAAACTGCAGTTTTTATGCAGTGTTGGGAAAAAATTCCAGTAATATTCATTAGAACATCTAATTCGACATAGCACGCTA